CTTTACCAATGTTAAAATCTGGTCACCTTAATTATAACCATTTTCAAAGCCTCACTGGAATTTCCTTTGTGTTTTCTGTTTATTTCCTATCAGCCAGCTTTCTGCTTTCTTTACTTCTGCTTGTCTATCTTAGATTGCATGTCCCCCCACCCCCACCCCATTTTTAGTGACATGCTTGGCCAATTATCAACACGCCTTGTTCTTGCTCTGCTATCTTCTACTAGTTCCTATCTGGCAAAACCAGAGGGTGGATGAAGCCAACGTTCTTCCTCTGCTGAGCCCTCCTTAATATCTGACAATCCGACTGCATTACCCTATTTGACTCACTGTTTACTTTCCTACGCTCTGTGTTGAATATTTCAGACCTTTTCCACTTTCTGGATTCTACAACCATCTCTCTCCATTCCTACCCCTTTCCTACCTACCTAGCTTCTTGGTGGGATAAAACTGTGCTTGGTGTTTCCAACCCTAGACATCACCTTTAAGCTACGAACTCAAACTCAACAGCCATTGCATTGGTTCCTGCTCCTAGTGACTCCATGGGAAGGACAGAGTAGAACTGCCTTGTGGGTTTCTGAGACAAGAAGTTGGTATGGGAGTAGAGAGTCATGGGTTTCTTAGCAGAAAGCCTGGTGGGTTTGAACTGTTGACATTGTAGTTAGCACCCCAATGTGTAACCCACTAGGCCAGCAGCGTTTGTTCACACCTCAACTGCCTCATTCTAGTTTTCTTTCTCCTGTGGGAACAGTGGAAATGCCTCTCCCGATTTAAGGTCTTTGGCTCCCAGCCTGTCCCAATTATTCAAGGACTTTCCATTATTCATGAGACCTCTCTTACTCCTCAACTGATTTTCTCACCCATCAGTTTTATGTCCGTCCATGTGTTTCCTCAGCCACCACTCTGGTCGTGCTGGACAGGTTTCAACGATGCTTCTAGACCAAGATGAACTAGGAAGAAAGGCCTGGTGACCTACTTCCAAAAACCAGCCGATGAAAACCCTAGGAGTTACAATGGTCTGAGCCCTGGCTGACCCTGGCGAGGATACAGGACCAAGCAGCATCTTGTTTTCTGGGGTTGCCATGATTCCATTTACACATAGACCCGCCCTGAACAGTCTTCTACAAATGGCTCCACAACAGCTCAGAACAACAAGTCTTTCTCCTTGGAAAGAAGGAAGAAAGAAAACAGGAAGGAAGATGAGAAAACTCTTCTTACACGTTACGCCCTGCTCCGGCTAGTGCTCCTTTCCACACCCAAGATTTTCACCATCTCCATTTCCACGTCCGCTCTTCCTTTAGTCTGCTCTCATCCAGTGGCGTTTTTTTCCCTTTTCATTCTAGCGTGAAGTTTTACATACATAGAGTGAGGTGCATTAGTCTTAACTGTACAGCTCAATGAATTTACATATGTGAATATACACCCTATGTAACTGCCAGCCAGATCGAGATATACCACATTTGTAGCAGTCAGCCAAATACCAAACTCGCTGCCACCGAGGTGATGCCCATTCACACGCCCCTGAAGGAGAGGGTAGAACTGCACCGGCGGTTTCCAAGAGCGCTCTTTCCTGGAGTACAGAGCCCCATCTTTCTCCCGTAGATTCTTAGGAGTGGAATTATTGGGCCAAAGGCTAGATAACATTTGCAACTTGGCTAGATATTATTCCTCATAATCGAGATTATATCATGCAACAGATTCCCAGACCCACTGTCTGTGTGCACAGTCAAGGGATGATCTTTTGTTGGTTCATTTTCTGGAAAGATGAAAAATAGGGTCTTTAGATTGGGAACAACGGGCACAGTCTAGGATGAAGATGTAGTGCCAAGACAATGC